AAAAGTGTGTTTGTCAGAAGCAGGGTGTGATTTTCTGCTGATAAAGCCATCTGCCACCACACAGAAGTTCTGAGATTGTCAACTGTTTTTAACGGTCCCTGTTGGTCTGTAACGGTTACGTATTTTTTGCACACGGTAAGCTTGGCTACTATTTTTTCAGAAGTCAGTTCTCAGAAAGCAGACAGCATGTGCTGTGCTGTACCTAGGGGACATCAGTGCTCACTCAGACTGCTTCCTGGATCAGGTACCCCCCCCAACCCCCCCACCAGAGAAATCTCTACATGCTGACTGGCTGCCTGCCTGGGGCTCAGACACAGCCAGGTCTCAGACCATGGAAGGGATGGTGTTTGTGCAGGAATGTGAGTCGCTGGGTTAACTCGTCCCCAGCCCAAGGTTTTCCATTTTAGTTATGGACGTTCATACAGACGGTTTAGGGACATGCTTTTAGCCTAAGCCTTTGTTTGTTTGTTTTTTTTAATAATAAATTTTATTTTTATATTCCCCATACATTTGCAACCCCCCCATTCTGACCCCAATCCCTCCCCTCCCGCCCCCGACCCCCCAAATAGTGTCTCTGGTTCATAGTTTTTTGTTGATTTTGATTTTCACTTTCTTATAGTTATTCATTTTCCTGGTCCCTTATTTAAGTTCTCTAGATTCCTGCTATGAGTGAGACCATCCGGTATTTTTCTTTTTCTTTCTGGCTTATTTCGCTGAGCATGATCCCTTCCAGCGCCATCCATGTTGCTGCAAATTGCATGTGTTTATCTTTTTTGAATGCTGAGTAATATTCCATGGTGTATATGTACCACATCTTCTTGATCCAGTCATCTATTTTTGGGCATTTGAGCTGTTTCCAAAGCTTTAGCCTAAGCCTTTGAAGACATGGATTATGGTCCTTGAGGTTCAGAGGCACCCAGAGTTAACACAGTCTATGCCCTCATCACCCAGACTAAAACACCTAGAGACTGAGTTTGCTGGGGAAAAGTCAGGACACAGAGCTTGAATTCTCTTCAGCCAGTAAAACAGTGAACAGTAAGAGGAAGTGTGCCTATTTAGCAAGGAGGAGAAAATATTGGCCCACCCAGTTTATTCATTCATTCAACAAATATTTCTGTGTGCTGGCTCTGGGCTGAGCAGTAGTTTAGTCAGAGGACAGAAGGAAGATCCTAACCCTTGTGGACCTGACATTCAGATGGGAGATGCAGACAATTAGCAACAAACCTGAGTTAACTACTGATGAAATTAGGTGATAGGTGGAAAATAAGCAAGTCAGAGTAAGAAGGATGCAGGGATGAGGTGGGGGAGGGGAGGGAAGGGTTAACATGTATTTGGTGGGACTGGCAGACATTCTTGTGAGTCATGTTCTGAGTCATGACTCAAATACCTAGAACATTTTTAGATCTATGACAATGATGCAAATGACAATAAATTGCTGCCATCTCCCGAGGCTGACTCTGTGCTCTTGCTTTGGACATCTCATTTAATCTGCAAGGCTGCCCTGGTTCTTCAAGCCTCTAAGGCACAATACCTGACTTGGTTCTTGGCCTCGACCTTCACCAACTTCTGCTTCGTCTTTGCAGTGGCATATACTTCAAAAATATTGGTCTTCATTTAGTTCTTACACTTAATAGATGCCCCAGTATCCATGGATCACATTTGTTAAACTCCTCAGTAAATGGACCAGAAATGTCCATTATAGATACAGGTACTGGTGGCAACATTTTCTAGGCAAACAGATGGGAATGGATGGAGACTGGTGGCCTTTGTTGCCCTGCTTTACACTCTGCTCCAAGACTTTGGTTCACAGCACAGTCTATGCTGTTGTCACTGCTGACTTCACAGTGAGAGCACAGAGACTAATGGCAGGTGGTCTCTGATTATGTCACTTATTTTTCCACTGATCAGGACTTGAGGGTTGGTTGGGACCTTGCAAGTCCTGGCGCTGAGAAAAGCCTGTGGGAGAATTATGTCCACAACTGTCAGCCTCCCAGGAAATATGGGGCTACAGAATGTCTCTCCAATCAAGTGTGGACCTCAAACCATGATTGGATACTTAGAGTCACAGAAAAACCCAGCCATGACCCACCCATCTGTTGTTAGAGGGAATTCAATGTGCATCCCGTAAATTCTGTATGCCTGTTCTGTGTCTGGAGCTAGGATAGAAGAAGAGGAGGAACAGTTGATAAGAAGTCAATGGTAACTTTAGCCGTGCCCATAATCTGGGTAAGAAAAGCTTCTTTTGAGTGGGTATTGCAAAGTTTCGGATGAAAGGGAAGTCTTCAGTAGAGTGATCAGGGAGTAGAAAAATTGACCAGAATGCTTTGAGACAGATTTTATCAGTGCAGTAAATCAGGAGTCAAGTTAGAACTTCAGATAACACACACCAATTCCTGGAACTTGATGACTTCTTTTTGCCTGAGTATGTCACTTTCTACTCTACTTTCTGTTCTGCTCCTTCTAGAATCACCTCCTTCCCTCAGGCACTCTAATCCACCCTTCACCACATTTCGTTCCTCCCCCAAGTCTGTTGCCAAGGCATTACTGCCTTCCCAGAACTTCTCTTGGTTTCCACAGCCTGTAACCCAAGGTCACTGAGCTTGCTTAAGTGCCATGGAGCTGGCCTTGAACATGGACTTGGCCTTCTCCTCCAGTGCATACTCCTTCCCCATCAGTCATGCAGTTCCACCCAGGGCTGTCCCCGGACATCACTTTCAAATCTTGTCACCCACTTCTGACTTGTGCCTGCCTCTCCAAAGAGGTCTCCCTCAGGTCCCATGGCCCTCATGAGAGTGTCTGGATCTGATTTTTCTCACCTCTCCCTCTTTATCCTCCAAAGTGCTTAATATTTCCATCACTCCTTGGCATATGATCCATATTTCCTCATAATCTTAGTTAACTTCTCACATTTAAATGCAAGTCCAGGGAACAGGTCTCATAGACTTCTCATACCCTCTATGGCCAAGTCCACAATGCAATATAGAAGTCACTCCCAAATAAATGATTGAAGGCCTCCGCAACCCAAAGAAAGATCTTTAGTAATCTGACCTTTCCTTTCACCTTTGCCAGCACTGCACACACTGCTGACCCCTCCCTGAAATGCCCAGAAATGCCTAGAGACCCTTTAGCCTCATTCCAAGCTTGCAAATAATTCAGGGTTATTTTGATTGTTTTGTTTTGTTTTTAAGGAGAATTTATTTGCAGGACAAATTGTGTGTTGGTGGGGGAAGTCAGATTAAAAATAAAAACAGAGACTTAAATGAGTTGAGCTTTGCTTCTCTTTTTCCCCATCCTTGCCCTTCCTCCCCATACCCACCCCCCCCTCACTTTCTGTTTTGCTTTTCATGCCAATTGCTAAAGACTGTAATTTAAAGAAGGCACTGGCTTTTCCAGAGTCAGAGGAATGTGCATCCGCACGTGGATTTTTCCACAAGAAAATAGTCTCTGTCTTTTGGTTCTTCTTACCCAGAGACAATGAGAATGGGCCCTCGGAGGAGCCCGTCCATCTTCGCAGTTCTTATTCCAATTTGCCTGAGAGGCTCTGAAGGGGCAGAGGGGCTGGTTTGAGTTTCACCCTGTTAGGCTGGCGTTTGATGAGGTTTGTGCTCCATTTGTTCGGATGGTTTTTATGGTTTCTTTGTTGTTCATGAAAAGACTTTGAAAGTTTCTATCCTTAAGCTCTTCTGCTATTCCTGCTCCGTGGCTCTATGGGATCACACCAGGGAAAGGAAAATAGGACACTCCCAGTCTGTTTCTGTCATTAAGGCATTTCTGTACATGGTTATGGAGACATGTGGATTCTTACAAGAAAGAAGTTGGGATTGCAAATGTTGGAGTCCGGTGTATTATCCTCCAAGACTGTCTGGAACAGGTTCGGGTTCCTACCGGGCAGGAAACATCTCTCCCTCCCCTTGTCTTGTCCTCCAGCCACACCTCTGGTCTTTTCTTTTCTCTTTCGTCGTTAAGCCCAGTCCTCTTCACTATCAATAAAATTGTATGAGAGGCTGGGGAGAGCCAGGATGTGCTCACACCTCTGGGGTATCACCCATCACATCAGTGGCTGAAATAGGGGCTGGAATTGGCCTCCAGGAGTGCAAGGACCTGTACATTCTCCTTGTGGAGTCTTCCTTCAATCTGGACATCGTCCACCTTCTCACGGCTGCTAAGGACTTAACTACATAGCTATAGACCTTTTTTTTTTCCTTTCTAAACTTGTATTCGTTTATATTTGTAGACACCTTTATAAGATGTGCACATGTATCATCTCATTTGATTACTACCTATCTTGTTAGTTTGGGCTGCTGTAACAAAGTACTATAGAATGATGATTTATAAACAACAGAAATTAATTTCTTATCTCTGGAGACTGAGTAGTCCATGATCAGGGTGCCAGCTTGGTCAGGTTCTGGTGAGAGCTCTTTCCTGGATTAGAGGCTGATGACTCTTCTTATACCCCCAATGGCAAAAAGAGGGCAAGCAAGCTCTAGAAGGATTCTAATCCTGCTCATGAAGTCTCCATCCCCATGACCTAATCACTTTCCTAAGACCCCACCTGCCAATACTATTGCCTTAGGAATTAGATATCAATGTATGGATTGGGGGAAGAGGGTATACAAACGTTCCATTAATATAATTAGTACAACCCCATAAAGCAAATTAACTGAGTATTTCTGTTTCTGCATGAGTGTTAAGTCTCAGAGGGGAGTCCTATGATTCATCCAAGATTCCACAACAAACAGTGGCAAGGTTGGAATTGGATCCCAAGCTCTTGAATTCAAGTTCAGTTATTCCTGTAACCTTGGCTTCTAATGAGAGTGAAATGTTTCTGCCACTCACCTGACTCTTAACTCCAGGGGAAGGGTACACTTTTGAAACTTAATGATGCTTATAAAATTATCACTGAAATAATTTAATATTTTCTGGCCACTGAAAGATCACTTCTATGCAACCTTTCTGAAAAGCAAGAGATACTGACGAACCTCTCTTTGCTGTTTTTTCAGACCCTTCTTATGACTCAGTCAGGAGAGGAGGATGGGGAAATAACATGAATTCTGGCCTCAACAAAAGTAAGTAAATGTTACATCATTCTTTGAGAAGAAAGCATTTTTCTGAGGACAGGGGTAGAAAGTAGGTTCATGAGATAAAGAAAGACAGGACATCAAAAGGAAGAATGGACACCAGACTTAACTGCCAATTTGGGCTGGTCAGTTCTTGGAAGATGATAGTAAAGGATTTTTATTCAGACCTTTGTTTCCCTGCATTTGGTTTTAGAATTTTTGAAGTTGGAAGGTGTCTCTGATAAAACTCTGTGTCCATGAAAGTTCACTGGGTTTAGATTCTATCATTTCAGTCACCATATGACCTTCTATAACTTTGCTTCTCTAATTGCCAGGGCTTAGTCATACCAGTGTCTCTCTCTCCTGTTCCATGAAAGGCTGCGATGGAGCAACTGATAAGGAGATGATAGGGGCCTGAGACATCAGTTAGTGTTAGGTCTGGCCCATAATCTCCCATGAAGGCAGCAGTCAAAGAGAATGACTCATCAACTGAACTAGATGTGTCGATCTTGCTACCTTTTGGAAATAAAATATAAAGCACATAAATGAGTGATGAAAGGAAGCCTTTCAATAAAGAAGTTGGAATTACAAATAATGGCCAAGCAACAACCAGGTTCCTTTCAACAATATGTATTAATTCATTGTTTACTCTGGGCCCAGCAGTTGGCATTATGGGATTCACAAGGAATGAATGAAACAGACCACTTTCAAATAGGGCAGAGGAATCATGCCACACACAGAACTCTTTTCATCTAGGTGGTGTCAAGGAAGGCTTGTGGATCTGGGCCCATTTGAGTTGGTTCTAAAAGGAAGGGCAGGATTTAGAACTCCCGGGAAAACAGAGCCCTCAGGAGAGGTGGTCACCAAGGGATAACATCAAGGTTGACATGTCTGACAGCCAGTGAGGACTCTGGGTTCCTGGAGTTTAGGGTTTCTGAAGGGAAAGAAATCTAGAAAGCTGAGGGAGGGTAGCTCAGATGATGCCCTGAAAATAGACCTTAATTCTTAAGGAAGTGAGGAGTCACTAAGGTTTTTGGATGGTGGAGTGAAATGGTCTTGGGAGATCAAACCATCTAAATAGCATATGATGGATCTGTGGGAGGAGAGAGGAGTTATGAGGATACCAGAAAGCCATAGATGGTGCCAAAAGTAATGCAGATTTAAAATAGAAGAGGTCAGGGTGAGTAAGAGAGCTACCATGGAGGAGAGTTCACAAGACATGGGAACACAGGAAGCAGGTCATCTTAGCTCAAGTGACAAAATTTCCTTTTATAAAAATTAAATTCACAGCCTGATACCATTAGACATGCTACACTATATATTCTTTGCTGTTTGTCATTATTTTCCCCACCAAAATATATGTTCCATTGCAAATTGCTGATTCATGGCTGAATCTCTCGCATTCAGAGCAATGTTAGCACATCATAGATTCTAGATAAATATTTATAAACTAAAATGTTTAAGTGAGTGAGTAGAGTGAATGAATGAATGAATGAAACAATGAGAAAATACATTTGTCCTGCTTCTAGACAAGCTGTTTGTATCTCCTCCCACTTACTATATTTCTTTTCTCTTGCCATAGGCCCCCCGCTTGCAGGAGCCCAAACAATGAGTAAGAATACTGAACAGCGGTCCCAACTAGGTACTGTCCCTGATGTGTGTGTGTGTAACTCCTCCTTGACTCTTATGCAGCTGTTGATTATGTTGTCAACAGAGGAGGATTTTAACAATGTACTGCATTTGTCATCACTTTTCTCTTTCTCAGAGGTTCTATATTTGACTCTCTGCAATCCATCTGTGAATAACAGGCACTGGCATTAGGTAGAAACTTGTAATAGCAGAAGGGAAAGAACTTAAAAATTAAACGTTCCAGCATCACGTTATAAAATAGAGAAACCAAGGCTCAGAGAGGTGAAGTGATTTGCCAAAAGCCACACTGCTGGTTTATGAAGGAACTAGAGTCTGGGGATATAACCAAGTTGCTCTCCAAGTGTTCATGTTTCACTAAACCTTACTTTAAAAAATACCTTCATCCTGTGATAGCTCTATTTAACAATTAAGGCAGAAGAATTTTTGAACTCACAGAATTGGAGACTTCTTAGTATTAGAGCAGAACTGAGAGACATCTAGGTCTTATGATGACCTCTCCTTTACTTCCGTAGTAACAGGGAGTTCAATATCTAATTAGTCTCAATTCCACTTTTTGAGCCAAAGTCCCCCTCTCTATATTTCCATTTCAGCTTCTTCGTTTGTCATCTGGAGAAGTCTTCACCCCATTCTATAGGAAGGCCCTTCATATACCTGAAGACAGCTGTTATCCCCACTCCCAAGTCCAAATCTGTCTTAATGCTAAAGAAAAAGCAATAAAAAATTGACCTACTTTTCATCAGGAAGGTTAAGAAAGACCTTACTAACTAGGAAACACAAGCCAGATGAAATGGATTTGACATAGAGGATCAAAAGAATCCCCAAGGACAAAATTAGACATTAGACATCAAAAATTTTTCAAGTTTTCATACTGTGTGGAAATAAAAGCATAGACTATATGGCCTTAAGGATGCTTCAAATTAATTTATGGTTCTAAGTAGAAATCCAAAAATCATGTTGATGTTTCAAAAGTACAATTATGGCTGTAAAAATAGTAAAATTGTATAAAACATTTGACACGGCAAGTTGTGATCCAGCGATCATCATTTCTTCACCTGAAAAAAATAAGACAAAACTCACATAAATCAATATTGCAATGTTTTTTTTTTTTCATGGCTAAATAACCATATAAATTTAAAGTAAGTTGAGATTTTAAGAATAGTCATTTTATAGCTAAAATAGGAATTTGGGTTAGTGTTGACATTTCCAGGCTTCGAATCACAAAATGTTCTAGAAGGGAACTGTGGAATGCTGAAGCCCAAGCTGCTTATTTTGGAGATGAGAAAACTGATACCCAGAGATTGTCCAATGAGCTATTTAGTTTATGATATCCCTGGGGCTAGAACCCAGGCTGCTTGGTTCCTGACATTCTTTTTTTTAATGCTATGTCAGAAAAACAGGGCTGTGTAAAGTAATTAGTAATAGGTCGAGCTTTAAAAGACCTGTAATCATTAGACCTACTTTAAGTTCATCTAAAAGGGTTCCTTCACCTTATTCATTAGGATTTAATGTTAGTCCTTTCCTTTCCAAGTGGTTTCATGACAGTGCTTTACATAATAACAACATTCTCTACAAGTTTTAGATATAAAATATGAAAAAAATGATGCCATGACTATTCCTTGTTGTTTCTGTAATTCTGGGGTGAAGACCAAAACTGTGATCAAGATATCTGAGGTCTGCACATTAGCCAGTAAAGTTTTCTGAAATCATACTTACCTATGATGTTACTATCAGGTTATTCTTATTGCTAATGCTGTTGTTTTTACATTTTTTATATCGGTGAACCAAATTTCCTTTTCTATTTCCTTAGATCCATATCAGGTCCTGGGACCAACCAGCAGTCGCTTAGCCAACCCCGGTGAGTTTACTTTGGCTTGCATGGATCTGTTTCTAGAATATTCCATAGCTTTGCGAGGTCATAGAAACTTCTGTCCTAATTTCAGGTGTCCATTCAGACACCTGAATGGAAAGTAACATGTATATCTTTCCTTAAAGTAGTCAGCATCTGCTTTTATAATTTACAAATGTGAGGCTTATTATTAGGTGGCAATAATGTCCATTAGCTGAGCACGCCTCAGGAAAACAAACACATTAGCCCCACTTTGTAGTAAGTGGCACAGGTAGAAATTTCAGTGAAAAAGGTGGGATGGGCAAGAAGGGCACAACTTTAGTGGGTTCTCGCCCTCCTCATGCAAGGCACCAGTGAATAAATATTCCAAAAGCATTTTATTCTTAACTTTAAAAGGATGGCAGAGTTATCTGGATTATGAAAGAAGCGTAGCCTTGAAAAGTTATGGATAAATAAATTTGAAAATTTATTTCAAGGGTTTATTATTAGACATTAAGTTACAATACTTATATGTAACAATAATTATAAAAACAACTCACAAGTGAATTATTTGAAACCAACCCACTGAGCATATAAACTAATAAACTATTTACAGTAGTGAGTTTTACATTGCCCCCCAACTTTCACCCCAGGGAGCTAATGCTGCCTGTGTCTCCAGGTCTCTTCTTTCCTGCCCAGAGGGGAAGAAGCTCTCTGTTGCTATTGTTCCTTCTGCCCAAGTTCTTCTCTGTTGAACCAAGAGTTAAGGGCTGTGAGCCAAGCATTAAAGCTCCCCTAAGGAATGTTCCATGTCCTCATATCTGTGCCACATCTTCTCCCTGAAACACTGATAGCATTCTCCTGGCCCAAACTCTCTCAGTTGCTCACAGGGAATACCTTGAGGACCTCACTTTAATCACTAAGTTGACATTAAACAGTGATTTAGACCTTTCTAGAAGAGATTCCAAAATTTTTCCAAAAGGGGTCAGGAGTGACAGCCATCACACAGCATCTCATTACCCACTCTGCACTTTACCAAGGCTTGGAGCAAATTATCTTAAGATGGGACCTTGTTTGTTATGCCAAATTCAATGACAAACCTCCAAACAAGTCAAAGATGAAAGAAGGGGCTGCCCTGTATGTTCTGACTGTACAAGGAAATGAAGGCTTTCTGTCAAGGGCAAGAAGATCCTTGCCTTTAGGAAACTGGATTCTGCCCTTTCCAAACTGAGACAGTCTTGGGGCCTCCCTGGTGGCTTAGGGGTTAAGGCTCAGCACTATCACCACTATGGCCTGAGTTCGATCCCAGGCCAGGGAGCTGACCCACATGGCACAGCAGACCTCTCCTGGCTCCCCCTCTGCTCCACTCAGCAGTGTATTTCAGTAGATCTGCCTGTTTTGCTCCCCACTCTGTCTCTGGTGAATCCTCTTGCCTTCCATACCTCTGGCCAACACCCCAGTTCTTCTATGCATAAATAAAACTTTAAAAAATAATAAAATCTTTAAAAAAAAACAACAACAGACAAACTGAGATAGTCTTTCTCTCCTTGCCTCCCTGCCTACAGGAAGTGGGCAGATTCAACTGTGGCAATTCCTGCTGGAGTTACTCTCCGACAGTGCCAACGCCGGCTGCATCACCTGGGAGGGAACCAACGGGGAGTTCAAAATGACGGACCCCGATGAAGTGGCCAGGCGCTGGGGGGAGCGGAAAAGCAAGCCCAACATGAATTATGACAAGCTGAGCCGGGCCCTCCGATACTACTATGATAAAAACATTATGACCAAAGTGCATGGGAAGAGGTATGCCTACAAATTTGACTTCCACGGGATCGCCCAGGCCCTGCAACCCCATCCAACTGAGTCGCCCATGTACAAGTACCCGTCTGATATCTCCTACATGTCTTCCTACCACACCCATCAACAGAAGGTGAACTTTGTCCCTCCCCATCCGTCCTCCATGCCTGTCACTTCTTCCGGCTTCTTTGGAGCAGCGTCACAATACTGGACCTCCCCCACGGGTGGCATCTACCCCAACCCCAATGTCCCCCGCCATCCTAACACCCACGTGCCCTCACATTTAGGCAGCTACTACTAGAAAATTAATCATCGGGGGTTTCTAGCAAAAGCCCCATCTCTCTCCTTTCCCGGATACTTTGTGCTATAAAGGACACATGTAGCCGCGAAGCCAAAACAAAACTGGATCTTGATGACAAGGAACTTTGTATTTGTTCTTTAAAAACAATCTTTTCTTAGTGTTGGTAGCTCTTTCTCTGTCTCTCTCGAAAAAGAAATGGAAAACTCCATGGGCCAGTACACCAGATTGGAGTCTCAATCACATATGATCTTTTAAGTTGAATATTTAGATTGCTGAAATGGCTGCATCATGGGTCTGGGAAAGAAACTGTAAATTTTCTTTATATTTTTGTGACTCAAGCAGTTCTTATCAACACACGGGTCTCATCAGGGACCTTATGGGGTGCTGCACGATAAGGAATCATGGACTTAACCAGATACGTTCTGCTTTGAGATTTAGTGAAATTCTAAGCAGGAAGCTGATAATCTTATTTTAACAGGAATTAATTCAGTGGATGGCAACTGGAACATTGGTAGGAAGGCCAGTGAAGTTTTCACCCAACTGGAATTTTAAGGAAAGAACGTGTGTGTGTGTTTAAGAAGCCGTGGGCATTGCAAAATCCCTTGCAGTGAGCAACACGCACTAAGCCAACCGTTCTCTCTAGAAATAGTCAAGATATGAACTGATAAATGTTAATGCAAATGCAAACATTCCTTAAATGCAGAGAATTAAGTAACTACTTTTTTTATAATAATGACAATGGTCCCAGAACTTTGATGAGTCTTAGGGATTTCTGAACACAAGTAGATTCGCAAGTGCTGTGCGCTTGTCAGACCTTTGGCCCAGGCTCAACCAATCGGAAGGCAACTTTACTGTATAAATTATGCAGAGTTATTTTCCTATATCTCGCAGTATTAAAAATAAATAATTAAAAAAATAAAAAGAATAAATAAACGAGTTGACCTCGGTCACAAATGCAATTTTCCTATCAAATCAGTCGTCGTTATTTTTTTAAATGTAATTTGTACATCTTTTGTCAATCTGTACATTTGGGCTATTTGTACGTTTTTATAGCTGATTAATGTGACTATTGTGGGAAACATAACAGGGAGTTTAAGTTTCTGACTTACTAGAAAGAGAAGCACTGGTGCAGTTATTTAACAGGCCTGCACAAGTAAGTAAACGCAATCCACTGAAATCTTTAATGCTTTGGAGATGTTTGTAAATAACCGTACTGCAATAATCACAACAGTGACAAGAATAAGCAAACTTTCCCTTGTGGATAGAGGGATTTTCCCACCCCATATATGCAATATATTTTTTAGATATTAAAATATATATAATTTTGCAAGTACTTATTGACTTTTTGAAAACTATATTAAGTGTTAAGCTGACAGTTGACTTTGCAAACAATGTTGTAAAATAATTTGACTAAATAAATAATTGTGCCTTCTCTTAAAACTGAGAACACTGTTTTCTTATTTACTCCCAACTAAGCCAAAGGGTTTTCCCAGGTAAAGTTTCATACCTACTGCAGTGCAGTTGAAAGTACTGGTTTTTATTGTGATTTCTATTGTGCTTGTATTAGTCAGGGTTCTTCAGAGAAATAAAACCAATAGGAGATATGGATAGATAGGTAGGTAGGTAGATTAGATAAATAGACATATAGTCAATAGGTAAAGATAGATATCTCCTAGAGAATTGGTTGACTTTTTATGAGACATTGGTTCACAATTATCAAGGCTGTAATGATTTGTAGTCTGCAAGCTGATGACCCAGGAAAGCCAGTGATATAGTTCCAATCCAAGCCTGAAATCTTGAGAACAAGAGAGGCTAATGGTATAAGCACCAATCCAAAGACAGAAGACCAATGTCTTCCCCCTAAAGCTAGCAGGCAGGAAGGAAAGAGATGAATTCCTCCTCCCTCTGCCTTTTTGTTCAATCCATACCAACATCAGAAAGCCAACTACTTCATTGAGTTGAATGATTCAAATGCTAATCTCATCCAGAAACACCCAACCATACATACTCAGAAATGATGTTTAATCTGGACACTTTGGCCCAATCAAGTTGATATTAAAATTACCCATCACATTGTTGATCATGGTCGTAGTGTGTCCCTTTTTTTTTTTTAAGGTTTATTTTATTTATACAAGAACTGGGGCACAGGCCAGATGCGAGGGAGGGTGAGAGGATTCACCAGAGACAGAGCGGGGAACAGAACAGGCAGACTGAATGAAATACACTGCTGAAGGGAGCAGCGGGCGAGACAGGAGAGGTCTGCTCACCATGTGGGATTCTCGCCGGCTGGCTGGGATTGAACCCGCACTGCAGAGGCTGCAAACAGCTTCACAGTGCTGTGTTCAACTGCCTGCACTACCAGAGAGGCCCGTAGTGTGTCCCTTTTTTGAAGTTATTTAAATCTTTGCCTAAGCCTTAAAAGGGTTTCACAGGATGGTGGCCAAGTCCATGGATAATCTATGTCCAGGAACCAGAACAAATCAAACAGGTCAGTCCAGGATGGACCTTGTCCATTTAACTTCCCTCTGTGCATCCATCATGCACTGCAAACCCAAATGGCCATGCTCTTGATACTACAGCAGGTTCCTTCTGGTTCCATGTCAGGATTTTATGGGCCATACAGGTTTTCAATCTTCCTAAGGAAGAAGCTTTCTTTAAATTGTGTCGCTGTTAGATAGTTCCCCCACTCAACTCTTCTGCAGATATGCCATAAGTTTATTCAGTCTAACAAACCTTGCAAGTCAGGCAGAGAGGAGCACAAGTCTACGAGCAGTTCTAATGGGAATCGTTCTTTCCAACAATTTAGAAACATGACCAAGAAGCCTTTGGAGCAGGTGGACTTTTTTTTTATTGTCAAAAAATATTGTTTACTCCCATCCAAAGAAAGATGTGGTTTTTTTTATTTTTAATAAATTCATTTATTTTTCTATATCGTCGCTCAAATTTAATGTAACATTTGATACATACAAAAGAGAGTATGTAGGAAACATATATGTAAATTCAAAGTATCCTGTGTATTTCTTTCCCACCCCATCTTCTGGTCTATTTTCCAGAAATGACTATGATGCTCAACACTCCACCCCAAAGGAAATAATTACACATTTTTCTCAAGCACACACAGAATTGTCTCAAGAAGAGACTACATGTGGGGAAACAAGTCTCAACAAACATATGAAGGATATCCTTTAATCACAATAATATGAAGCCATAAACCAACCACAAATTTCTTTAAATTAAAATGTAATATACATAACAGCAAAATGTACATATATTAATTAACTTTTTAAAATTACACATTTTTGTGATCACACTTAGATCAAGATAAGGCATGTAATTGATACTCCAGGGCCTCCTCATGCTCTTTTCCCTGTCAATCCTTTTTCTATTCCCACTATAAGTTACCTCTGTTTTGACTTATATCATCTTGGATTAGTTTTAGAATTATTAAGTATATATTTTGTGTCTGCCTTCTATCACTCAACATTTTATTTGCAAGATTCCTCTATCTTGTCATATGCATTTATGTATTAATTCTTTATCACAATTAAGTGGTATTTCATTGTATGAATAAAACTTGCAATTTATTTATTCATTCTACCATTAGTTGACATTTTTGTTGTATTCATTTTTGGGTTATAAAAACTAAAGTTTCCATGAACTTTCCTGACCATGTGTTTTTTTTTTTTAATTTTATTTTTATATTCCCCATACAATTGCAGCCCCCTTATTTTGACCCCAACCCGTCCTTTCCCCACCCCCCTCCCCATAGTGTGTCCCTGGTTCATAGTTGTTTGTTGATTTTGATTTTTTCTTTCTTATAGTTATTCGTTTTCCTGGTCCCTTAGGTAGGTTTTCTAGATTCCTGCTATGAGTGAGACCATCCGGTATTTTTCTTTTTCTCTCTGACTTATTTCGCTGAGCATGATCCCTTCCAGCGCCATCCATGTTGCTGCAAATTGCATGTGTTTACCTTTTTTGATTGCTGAGTAATATTCCATTGTGTATATGGACCACATCTTCTTGATCCAGTCATCTATTTTTGGGCATTTGGGTTGTTTCCAAAGCTTAGCTATTATAAATAGTGCTGCTATAAACATAAGGGTGCACGTGCTATTTGGAATTAATGTTCCTGTGTCCTTTGGATAAATACCTAGGAGTGGAATTGCTGGATCATGTGGAAGCTCTATCTTTAGTAGGTTGAGGAATCTCCACACAGTTTTCCATAGTGGTTGGACCAGTTTGCACTCCCACCAACAGTGCAGGAGAGTTCCTTTTTCTCCACATCCTCGCCAATATTTGTTGTTGCTAGTTTTTTTAATATGTGCCATTCTCACTGGTGTGAGATGGTATCTCATGATAGTTTTGATTTGCATTTCCCTGATTGCAAGTGATGTTGAACATTTTTTCAAAGATGTGTTTTTAATATCTACTGTTTTCCAAGATTTTTAATGGTCAATGACTACTAGAAATTTAATAACATGTAAAGATAAATGTCATGTTATTTAACCAGTTATAGCTACATGCAATTAAACAACAAATGTATATGATGTTTATTTAGTCCAGAGGTAATACACAAAGTTTGGATCAGAAGGGGTGTGACTAGCTTAGACCAAATGAGATCAAGTGGTTCCCAGAACACCAGCTGGAGCAAAAACTTTTGTCTACTAAACCAAGGTGCTGCCAGGCCAGAGATTGGGGAGAAAATAAAAGACAAAAGCAAAACAAAACACAAGTAATCTGTGAATCTTCTGTGACTTGATTTCACACCCCACTTCCTCTAATGTCTAGTCATCAACAACCAGCACGTAAACATGTTATCTTAAAAATGATGGAAAAGTCACCCTGGTGCGTGGCTCCTCTGCCATCCAGCCCTGTTCGCACTCCTAGAAAGGATCTGCCTCCGCTGCCATCAGCCATAGTGCTGGGCTTGTACCTTTCCCTTTTTCAGGAGGAGGCTGGTAAAAAGGGTGCTGACTAAGTGGGAGAGAAAGGGTAGGTGGTAAAGTATTAGGGAAACCAGGGAACATAGCTAAGGTGGATAGACAGAGGCTTTAACTCTTATTCAGGAAGGACTATGTGTTTTGCAGAAAGCACACAGGACACTTTATAATTTAGAAAGCTACTGAAATTGACACTGCGTGCCTTCAGCCAGAGACTCCAGCTAAAGGATTATGAAAGGTCTTGATTTCAAGACTACAAATCCCAGGCTCCCTTGGGGGACAGATACTTCTGAGAGGAAGTGGGTTAGCCAGTCAAACCTCTAGGGTTTCACCCAATTGAGAAAGAATATGCAGGGAAGCTTTTAAAAGGAATGCTGTCCGCATGCCTGCAGTCTGTCTCCCTCTCTCACTCTTACTTGGCCTCCTGTCTAATTGTTTCAGTCTGTCTGAGCTGGTAAATTCCTAAGCACATAGTCAATTTACACTTAGCTTAAAAGCTCTAGGGGGAAGCAGAAAAAGTTTCCAGTGAGACCACTTGCTTACCTACACTGCTAAACTAACCTTCTGGATTTTAACTGAGTTGCCACATGTGTCTTCTTAGTAGGAGGAGAGAGGCAACCGAGGTAGACAAATGAGCAAGGCTATAATTCCAGAGGCTCTAGATTCAAATTCTGGCCCTTCCACCTACTGAACTGTGAATGTGGTTGGTGAGTACTATCTCCTGTAAGCGTTCCTGTCAGGTATTAGATGACACATGTGGAAAACCTTTTATGAAGTGCTGTGCTGGAAATATATAGCTAATCGCTGTTATCTGTACTCATTTGGAGCTTTCCCCACAATCTTTTAAGTCCCTTGCTAACTGGGGAGCACATTGTTTGGGGATTTCCGGGCGATGTCGACTTCGTTTTGTGGTCAGAAAGGCATTTTCCAAATGAATGAAAGGTGAAAGTAAATTGGATT